TATCTAGAAATCTGTCTGTTTCTTCTGAGTTTTCTATCCTATCAGAGTAAATATTTTCAAAGTAGGTATTAATGATCTTTTGAATTTCTGTAGGATCTGTAGTGATTACATCCTTTTCGTTCCTTATTGCATGAATATGAGTTTTTTCCTTTCTTTATTTGATAAGGTTGGCTAGTGGTTTACCAATTTTTATTTATTCTTTCAAAGAACCAATGCTTTGATTCATTTATTTTTTGTAGGGTTTTCTTTATCTCAATTGCATTAATTTCTGCCCTGATCTTTATAATCTTCTCCCTTCTTTGAGCTTTGGACTTGACTTGTTCATCTTTTTCTAAAAGTTTGAGTTGCAGCATTAGGCGACTTATTTGTTCTCTTTCTGTTTTCCTTATGTGTGAGTTCACTGCTATAAACTTCCCTCTGAGGACTGTTTTCATTCATCCCACACATTCCGGTAAGTTGTATCCACATTTTTGTTTGTTTGTAAGTATTTTTTTAATTGCTTCTCTAATTTCTTCTGTTACCCATTGGTTATTCAGGAGGTTGTTATTTAATTTCCAAGTATTTATGGAACCTTTGGAGTTCCTTTTGTTGTTAATATCTAATTTCATTGCACTGTGGTCAGATAATATGCACGGGATAATTTCATTTCTTTTGCATTTAGTTAGGTATGCTCTATGGGCTAGAATGTGGTCTATTTTAGAGAAAGTCCCATGTGCAGCTGAGAAAAATGTGTATTCTGATGTTGTGGGATGGAATACTGTGTATACACCTGCTAAGTCCGTTTGTTCGCAGATTTGGTTCAGCTCTGTTATTTCTTTGCTGATTTTTTTGTCTAGTTGACCTATCTCTTTGTGTCAAAGGGTTGTTGAGATCCCCTATTAAAGTAGTGTTATTAATTATTTTGGTTTTCATGTCTGTTAAGAGTTGTCTTATATAGTTTGGAGCTCTGATATTTGGTGCATACATGTTTATGATTGTTATCTCTTCCTCTTGCAGTTTTCCCCTAACAAGTACGTAGTGGCCTCCTTTATCTCTTTCAATTGTTTTCGGTTTGAAGTTTACATTGTCTGCAAACATGATAGCTACACCTGCTTTTTTCTGTGTTCCTTTTGCTTGGAAAATTGTTTTCCATCCTTTGACTTTCAGTCTGTGGATTTCCTTTTGAGTAAAATGTGTTTCCTGTATACAGCATATCATTGCATTTTTGTTTCTTAATCCTCTCTGCCAGTCTATTTCTTTTGACTGGTGAATTGAGGCCATTTACATTTATGGTTATAACCAATATGTGTTGGCTTATCCTTGTCATATTATTTACTTGCTGTTGGTTTCCTA